GTTGAAAAATTAAAAAGGCTCAAGCTGTTACTCACAGGGGAATTCCAAGTAAAATGATTTCAATGTTTTGAAAAGTGTAAATGTCGCTATTGCCAGTGGTCAAAGGGTGTCATTATCGTCCTGCTTATTCCCCGCTTCCACTGGTTGCTTGGGTCCGCGTCCTGCGCCTTGGATCCAAGCAGGCGGATTTCTGCAGCTGAGAAGAGGGAGTTTCATGATTTGGGCTCTCAACTGCAAGTTTCTGGGTTGAAAAAAACACGTCTGTGGCACCCAGCCCTGTGGGACTTCAGTCCTGGCTGGGTTTGCATGGGAAGTTTGCCATAGACGTTGCCAGATCGGTGTAGCTGACAGATTAGATCTTGACAGAGCGCTCTGTGGTTTTGTGGATGTACGTCTATCCCTCCACAGAGTGGTTTATGCACAGAAGCTGTTCACGCACCCAAGGATTACACAGAGTGACAGGCTACAAATACTGGGAGTAACTTGCGCTACCTCACACGCGGAGGGGAAGACTCCTGCTCGGGAGGTTGCAGCGTATTTTTGCATCATCTGTCAGTCACTGTGCGAGGCTGCCGACGTCCCAAGTGCAGACCGACCCTCAGAAGTCCCCTGCAGCTCTGCTTTAGGGGCAGGCCTGTCTCAGGGTTTCTCTGCTGAGACCTCGCCATCCTTCCCTGAAGGGTACTTTTTCCCCCCGAGTACAGGATTCTTCCCAGATAAAACTTTTTTTTTTTTTTCCCCCTTGGTGCTTCCTTGTTGTTGAAGCCTGGTTAGTGTGTATGTCCTTCAACGACGCAGAGTAGAAAGGCAGAATTACCCCGGAATGGGTAGGCTCTGGGGGTACAACTCTGCAGCCAAAGAGCTTGTGTAGGGGCTGTTCAGGTTTCTGCCTGTTGCGTGAGTTGTGACTGTGCATCGTCCCGTGGTGTGGATGCACCATGGGCCTGACACTCGGTGAGTCCTTGTTGCTTTTAAATACACAGAAGCAAAGGTGTTACAAAGGAAAACATAGGTTAATGCAGAAATTAGGTATCATTACTGTTTCTGACTCATCCACCAATTCACATTTCTTCAAATAGCCAACCACAGATGGCAGAAATACCGGGGGGGGTGTGAAGATGCGGTTCTGAGTCCCGCAGGAACAGCCCCCCCCAGCCCTTCGCCCTCTGACTTCCCTGGTGCCGCTGTCATAGAAACGCTGAAAATTCATCCCCGCAGCTCTGAAATATCCCTTTTCACAACGGCCCGGCTCCTCCCTCCCCGAGCTTTCCCAAACACAGGCACTTTGTGAAGCTGCCTGACTTCAGAGTCACCAGGAGTCATTTTCTGGGATGTTCTCGGTGTTGCCATGGCAGCCACAGAGCGCTTGGGCCAATACCCGCAGCAAAGCTCTGGGGCAGGATCTGCTCCGACTAGGTCACAAGTTAGGACATAATTTAAGCCCTTTTGGGCTTCTTCTGAGACATCCAGGGACTTTTACAAATAAAAAGTTCCTTTTCGTCTACTGTCTTTTTGTTTTTGAAAAGTTCTAGCAAGCAGAATTCTTGCTAGGGTTTTTAATCTTGTAAATATTTAGCGATTTCCCACACACACCCCCCCCAAACACAGAAGTACGTCTCAGACTTAAACTGAAGGGGAAGCAGAGATGCAGAAGATAAGGCCTATTTTTTTTCAAAACCATGATATCTGAATATTTGAGTCTGTCAGTGCTTCTGTGCTCACTCTGAAGCACTTGAGCCTGATTGTTTTTCCCTCTCTTTCCCCAAAATGCTGAGCACGCATCTCCAAGCAAAACACATACTTAGCATATCTTAAACTTGCACCCATCAGTACCCACTTCTGGTCTGATTTACTTGCAGAAAGACCCCCAGAGAGGGCAGCAGCAGGGTTAGACATCTGTCTTGTCTCTTGAACTCAAGTTTAGGTCGTCAGCCAGCGCCGCAGAAAGCGCGATGCTGTGAGATTCCCGAGCTTCTTGATGAATCAGCATCAGGTGCCCAGGTCTCTGTTCCTGGTCTAGCCATTATTAACAAAATAAGTGTTTGATCATTAAATTAGTCATAACCACAAGAATTTATTCAGTTGTAAAACTATAGCAAGCGGAGAAGTTGTGTGTCTCCCGGTGGCGTGGCTGCGCCGCGTCCCTCCCTGCCCCGGTGGCTGGAAAGGCTTCGCTCTCCACTCCTGCCTTCGTGGGCTGCATCATTGCCGTAGCTTGGCTGGGATCGTTGTGCTCCTGTATTTTTGTAGCTTTTGTCTTTCAGAGGAGCTTTAACCGAAGGCTAATCAGCGTAATTTTTAATTGTTAATTTGGCTCGCTCTCTGAAGCTGATTAGATGACCTTGCCAAGGAATCAGGGGGGAATTGTTAGAGCGAAGCGAGCTCGCTCGGTGAACTTCCAGCACTCTGGCGCGCTGCCACCCTTGCTATTTATAGACTTGTGAGAAGAGTCAAGCGCTGAAGAGAGCTCCTGATTTGAGTACCAGATGACTCGCAGGCTGACCTGAAGCGGAGTTACTGCCCGGGAGCTGCAGAAGGCTGATGAGCAGAGCTCCGTTTTTCCAGTCATTCAGTGCTAGTTTCTATCTCATCGGTTTATTGGAAGCCACCTGCCGTTTCTGCACTTCCCGGCCAGCGAGCACTGCAGAGGCTCTCTAGGTGACTGCTACAGATTTGCAAGTACTTTGGTTTCTGTCTGCCGCCCCGTGACATGTGAAGCTCATTATTGGGGTAGCTGTGTCATCTCTCGCCTCTCGGTGTGGTTGTTTCTGTAGTGGATCTGCCTGGTGCCTCTTGCAGTCCTGCCCTCGGCCTTTGCATCGCGTTCTCCTTTATCGGCTCCCAGTAAACGCAGAATCGGTCTGATCAGCATTTACAGAGTTCAGCTGCAAAGCTAGTCTTTAACTAGGTGCTTTAAAATTCTTGACGATCTCTCTTATCTGAAACGCTGGATGATAAATTGGGTGTAACACAATTCATCTGTCACTGGTGCGCTGACAAAGCATGAATCTTCAAGCCTGTGCCAGACCCACCTCTTTCTGTACAGAATAAATCTTGGCTAGTCTTCCAAACAACAGATCAAACCAGGGAGGCTACACCAGAGCTCCAGATCCTCTCAGACTTCTCCTGCTGCCCGTTTTTTGCTTTTGGGTCGCTGTGAGCAGCATCTCTAGCTGACCAGTCACTCAAGACCATTAAACAAGTGTTTTTACCCCAGAGGCAAGGATATGTGCCCAAGTTTGTGTCTACCACCAGACTTTGTATAGTTTAGTGTACACGGGATATGATGTTTCCCAACCTCGTCATACAGCCAGAACCTTTGTCCAGACTGTCATTGTCTCACCCTTGGTTATTGCTGCATCCGACCCCCTGCCCTTGAGGGCAGTAATCTTGCCCTGCCTGTATCTTTGCAGAATGCTGCTGCAAAGGTTGTTTCCCCCGTCAGGGCTGTGAACACTCTCTGGGCCGTTCTCCAGGGGCTCTTCTTTACACAGCGCCTCGCATCTACGCATTGTTTCGTTGTTAACGCCGGGCTTGGTCTGTCCCTGCTGTCTGTCTTCTCATCTCGTTGCTGTGAAAGCTGCTTTTACCTCACAGCAGCTCGAGAAGCCAGCCTTCCTCCTGCAGAACATTTCAGGGGTTTAGTGAATTGTGACTTTTTAGCAGGATTTAAAAAATCAGAATAACAAGCAACCCTCCTCCGAACAACAATTAGAAGTATACAAAGTCTAAAACTTTCCATACAGGACATTATTTTGGGCAATTTTATATTTCGGTGCAGAATTGAACATTAGTGCTCCCCAGACTTGGAGAGTAAGCGTATGTTAACATAATTTCAGGCGGCATTGGGATAGTCCTCTCCTGCCTGCTTTGGAGAAACCAGACGTTTGCGCATCAGGGATCCATACGGAGACGTTGGCAGCGGGGTGGTGGGGCTGTTTGTTCACCGGGCGGGTTAAAATCGAAGTAAAATAGAAGCCGTTTGGTCTGTCTCCAAGTCTGCTAGAGTAAATGCAGGCTCTGCGACAGGTTCAGGGCTGGGGGCTACCGACAGGCAGGCTTTAAATGGGTGGATGTGCCTTTGCATGGGGTATGGTAATTTGGGGAAAAAAAAGGCACTTTTACCCTGTGGAAGCAACATTTATAGATCTGGGTAGAAGTTGGTGGTGGGGGGGAACAGAGCGATTGACTTACAGGTTCTTGTCTCTTTTGCAGTTGGTGTATCCTTATGACTTCAGACTAACAGAGAAAGAGGTAATAACTTTTTTTGTTTGTTTTCTTTCTCTTTTTTCCCCCCTGGTTATAAAGAGCTGTGGTGATGCAGATTTCTTTACTCTGTGTTTTTGTTTGTTGCAGAAAACTAGTATCTGCTACTTGTCC